GTTTACCAGCTGGGTTGACTTTTCTTAATTTGGGAGATGCTTTGGTGGAGGACGTGACTTGCATGAAAACTAGATTCAACACCTCCGCTATACGTAGCCGTATTGGTTTCAAGTGGGTGACGCATGTACGCCGGCTGCCTTCATCATTGGTGAGTTTCAGCCGCCCTTTGTGAGTTCGTTATGTGTATTTTATGCCCAAGAAAGCCTCATGTATCCTGAATGGTGTACCAATTGAACCAACATCCACTAGGATCCAAACATAAACTCAATGATTACTAAGGAGCCACCGGGTTGGAAGCAACGAAGCCGTAAAAACCATTGGTTTCCTGCCCTTCATGTGGCTTTGTAGTGGTTGCTTTATTCCATTCTACCCCTTTTGGGGGTAGTAGTTGAAGCCATCTTAGGCTAAAACACGAAAACCAAAACATATCAATGCCCTTTCACATGTCATGATGTCAGCAAATCCGGAGATCTGTTCTGAGCAAATTCGGATATGCCAGGATGGAACCAGCTACATGTTCATTCGCCTGACCGACCTGGTTTCCGCTTAGGTGGGGCAACTATATTGCTCAAACCTGCCTCAGCTGGTTGCATGTGGGGGCGGGGGAGGAGTGTTTTTGGAGGCTTCCTTCCATCTGGGACATGTGTGAAAAAGGGCTTCCCGTTTGTAGTCTCATTCGTTGCCTTTCCAGCCATAAGACCGTAGAACATCCAAACATGCTTGGAAAGAGCCTAATTCTTCTCCAACCGACCGCCAAGCAACCGGCGCCAAGAGAAAACCACAGCAAACGATGATTGGGCAACGGACCCAACCCACGAGGCCCCGGGCGGACTCCCAGCGACCTTCGAAGCTCAGGATGTAGAGCCTCAGCCGTCGATCCAAATGTCCTACTCTGCATCTGACCTCAAAATGGTCGGTCTTTGGGTTAGTCGCTTTTGCTTCTTATTCTTTTTTAAGGTACCCTTTTCGCATGGATTGAAAGGGAAGCTAAAAGGAAACCCACAATTTTGAAGGTCCCCTGCTTTAAGACACACCCATTTTGAGGTCCGAAACCTTCCAAAGATCCCTGTCCCCCTCCAGAGGGTGCGGACTGCAGGTACGGAAAGCATTTCGCACACGAATTGCAACCTTTGGCGTGTGGTTGACGCTCAGGGCCCGACAAAAAAAACGGGCAAAGGGCAGGTCCTGGAATTGATACCCCTTTGTGCTCCCGATCTTGGTGGCCTCAAAAAGGGTTGAGCTTTGAGGGGCCAGGGTTCTCCACATATTGACGTGGGAGTGTTCCTGAGCATAGGGTAATTGGCTGGCTGTTGCATAGTTTGCCAGCCGAGGTTTTTAACCATCTAACCAGCGGAGAACGTGCATGACCTCCCTGTAATTATGCAGCTTGCAAGAGCAGTTCTTTTGGCGAAAACAGCCAAAGCAGAACAAGCAAGTCGGATCCGGCCTATTACGATTCTGGCAATGACTGATTGCCTTTTAATGAGAGTCGTATCACGTTAGTAAAGCACTACCCATTTGTGCCACAAGGTGTGACTGGAAATGGCACGTTTGGCATGTCTTGCAACATCACGAGCTCGCCTTTAGTGGGTCCACACTTGTCGCGGAATCGGCAACCGATCACCATACAAAGGCACCAAGCAAGTGTTCTTCTCAAGCATGTCGGGTTTTCCGAAACATTTGTGCACCGAAATGGCGTCCCCCAGACGCAAAAGAGCCCCAAAAGTCACTACTCCAATAAGGCAAAAACTAGTGTTCGTACAGTGGCTGCATAGATATCCTTTGTATTTTGGGGCAACAAGTCTGCACTTGTTGCCGTCATTCGGCATCTTCGCTCGCCATAGAATATATAGAAAAGCCACTGGTACGTTCTCACATTATGTTTGGGTTTTCCATTTGCTCAGCTGGCAACTGGGCGAATTCCCCCATGGCTGTGTCCTGGTCTTGGCGGCTGGGGCCGCCGGCGGGTCCAGATGGGGCAGGGGCACCTTACCAGGTGCCATGCCCTGGTGGTCCATGGTCCTGGCGAGCGCCCGCTTTTGGGTCTTAACTTGCTTGCAAATGGGTCGCTCGGTCGCTCGTTTTTTGAGGCGAAGGGTACGCTTTGCTGCGGCTGGTCTTTCTGTCTTAAAGAAAAACCAAAAGGAAAACCACGAATCCATCTTTGGGGTCCGCTTCCAAAACGAAGAAGCCACGCGCGACGGAGCCGATGGACTCGACTCGGTAAACCGCAATAAAAGGGTGTTTTGGTCAGGGCACAAATGTGGGGCGTGTCTGTTCTTGGGGAACCCCCCACAAAAAATCGTGGTTTTCCTGTTGCTTTAAAACCCACAAAAGGGCACTCTCAAACAAAAACACACACACACACACGCATGCTGCTTGGGAGTCATTTCGCTGCCTGGAGCGGCCGACGTAAATTCCGATTCCTCTGCGACGATTGAGAAAGCCGTCTGCCGTGTTTCGGTGGTCTCAAGCATAGCCCGGTTCTTGTTTCGGGTTGAGTTTCCAGGGACATCCCTCCCAAAACAGGAAAGGGTGGCATCCTGGGCTCGGACTACAACTCGCCAACCCGAGACTGATCCATAAGACTTCTAATCATCGTTGTCTGTTGCCCTGGAAATAAGACTCTGCGAGAGGATGTCTCATATCTTTCACGTGCTTGCCAATGTTTTCAGTGTTTCCCCAAATGATTTGGGTAGGTATGCCGGATTCGCCGCATGCCCCCTTAGTAGACCTCGTCAAATATGTGTCAGGAGTGCAGCTCGGTATCGTAGGCCATCATCCACTTCTCCTTTGCTCCCTCAAACTGATGTGTCTCTGCTTGGTACCCTGGAACAACAAATTTGCCCAGGTCATATCCCCTGCCCCTCACCCCAAAGCTCATTTGGCTGTTGTTCCTCTGTAGGAATCGGATCCAAACACGGATTCGTTGCAAAACCAGCCGTAACAAAGGCCACCCTTCGCCTCAAACAATGGCAGACCCAGTCTTGGGCCATGGGTTTCTGGGGCTCTCAGGACGCCTCAGCGACTGGGACACCGCCTTCTCCAGGGTCCTCAGGCA